GCCTGAGGTGCAGTCTCCTTTCCCTCCAGCTGCTCTGCAGGCTCCTGAGAGGCTGCTGGCTCAGACACAGCATCCAGCCCCTTCTAAACTGGGTCAGGATTTCCCTGCCAGTCAGGATTTCCCTGCTCCCCAGGCGCCTTGCTGCTTCAGTGTCTGGGGCTGGAGAAGGGGCTGATGCTGGGGAGAAGCCCATTTCCCACCGGCTGTTAGAGACCCAGCTGCCAAAAGAGCTAGACATACAACAGACTTAAATATGAATGAAAACGTTTAATTATTCATGCAGAATGTTATTTATGAATGAATTACAATATAAATAAAATAAAAAATTGTCCAACTAAATTAAGTTTCTGTCAAATTTACCCAATTCACATGTAATATGAAAATAGCCTTCAATTTGGGCATTTGACGCCTTTTTATATTTTTTCTCCAAAGGGGGACCCGCGAAATAGGCTGCCCTGGGCCCCGCAAAACTATCATCCACCCTGCCTGTAGCTCATTCCCAGCTTCTGACAAACAGAGGCTAGGGGTCAACATCCTTGCCCATGCTGGCTAATCACCATTGATGGACTTATCCTCCATGAAGTTACCTAGTCCTTTTTCGACACACTGATTTACATGGTGGTTATAACTTTGGTATATAGAAACACGTGCCCACTAAGGCATCTATGTTACATGGAAGAACCCATTATCAAATTGCAACATAATCCACATTTCTGCTCGCCGTAATATTTCTCTATTCACATGTCAGCTGCCAAAGATAATGCAGCGGCAACATGGTGTATGCCCCGGAGATAGGTCCCCAATCTCAGCTAGCAATGGCCATCTCGATGGTTAATTATCCATCTGAGGTAGGGAACCTAAGGCCCCGAGGCCAGATGCGGCCCCCCCCCCAATTGCAACATAATCCACATTTCTGCTCGCCGTAATATTTCTCTATTCACATGTCAGCTGCCAAAGATAATGCAGCGGCAACATGGTGTATGCCCCGGAGATAGGTCCCCAATCTCAGCTAGCAATGGCCATCTCGATGGTTAATTATCCATCTGAGGTAGGGAACCTAAGGCCCCGAGGCCAGATGCGGCCCCCCCCCCACCTGGATCTGGCCCTTGAGGCTCAACCTGCCCCCAACTCCCTGTGGAGCTGGAGCACACAGAATCTACTAGCCTGAGTTGGGGGGCGAGGTTCTGGTGTATGAGGGGTATGTGGGGAGTGTCTTTCTCCTTCTAGGTTGGGGGCCACAAAGGCTAGTTTGGGTTTTTTGGCTTCTCACTTGTGTGCAGCTCCTGACTGATTTTTGTGTGGGTGAGCAGCTCCTGACCCAAAAAAGATTCCCCACCCCTGCTTTATATAGTACAAAATTGTGGACCATTTGTAGGAATGAAACCAAAGCCATTCTCTTGATTCTTAAAGCAGGACAAAGAGACAGAGATGACCAAGCAGGTGGCTGAAAGGGACTCATCTGGAGAAGTATCACAGAGAGAGAGATAGGCCGTTTGGGCAGGAGGCAGATCAGGTAAGAGGTTGTCATTTCGCCTGCACGTTCCAAGCACGAGTCTCCCATGTTTTGGTGTTAAACCTTTCAAAGGGCTTGACTGCCAGCAATTCCATTGACAGTGGTATTTTCACTTGCTGGTTGCCCTGCAACGCAATAACTTGAAGTTTCTTCCTTGGCTCCCCTGTGGAGCTGGGAGCTAATGGCGAGTCTGGGGACTTGGTCAGGTGCACAGCAGTGAAATACTTCAGGGATGAGTTCTCAGAGGGGGAAGGCACAAAATAAACCCTCCAGCCCCGGGCAAGCGAGCGTCCATGGCAGTGAGAAAAGGGGCCATTGGTTCATTGGCACAGGTAGGTGGAAGGGATTTGGGGTTCTACGAAAGAGAGACAGTTACATTTCCCATTTGTGTGGCTAGTCTCATTCGGAGGGTGGGGGATGCTGAAGTGAACACAAGGCCAGCTGCCACAGAACTGCCACAGAGCGGTGGCTGCAGCATCTGTCAGATGTTTCTGAACTAGACCTGTTCACAATTCCAGCCTGTGCTGATCCGAGCCAGTTCGGATGCCGGAGCAGTGAACAAACCCCTGGACACTGCTCACTTTCCCACACTAGGTCCCCATTCGTTGTTAGTATCATTAGTAACAAGTGCAAATGGCCTGGCCTTGGATTTCACATCCCACCCAGGCCAGCATTCCTGGCGACTCAACCATATGCTAGAAGACTGACTTAATAGTAACTCAGAGAGAAAGCTGCTCCCTT